CCCTGGGCCTCTTGAGTAAAGGAGTGACGGCGAGCAAGACTCAAGCACTGCAGGGAAGGTGTAAAGGCTCCCCCCAGGTGAACAACCTGAGGTCAACCCTACACCTCCCCCCCTAAAGCCAGGGAGCATCACAAGCTCCCAAAGCCCAGGTTTGCAGTACTTGAGCCAAAATGGCTTCAGAGCTCTCTCTCTCTCTCACACACGAACCCAGTCACCTGTCAGCCGCGACGCAAGGCACAGCGATTTCGCTATGTGCGCAAGCCTGGAACCCCAACTCGTCCATTAGCTCCCTGATCCTGCTCCCTGCAGGTTTCCCACACTCAAACTCCCAGAAAATCCTTAGACCATCGCTATACAACCAAACAATGCCCAACAACCAACACCCCGGGCTGCAAAGTGACTCTTGCAACCCAGTCGAACGCGGAGCAGTCTTTCGAGGCTATAGCACAAGGCCAGTGGCTGCCGTTCACGACCCGCGGAAGCTTCCCTCGCTTCTGTCGCCTCCTTATCGCAGCTGGCTTTGGGCAAGGCACGGAGTTCTCGTGGCCTGGGCGTAGAGCAGAGAAGGCCCAAGGAGTCCAAGCCCAGGTTCGACCCTGTGGGTTTGATTCATCCTTCAAGTTACGAGTACGCCATAGTACGCCTCCAGAAGACGACGAGAGTTCCCTCTTCTTTCCAGCATGAGGTGCGAAGGAGGAGTTGCTATCTCCACGACTTTTCGCTCAAGTGCTTCTTTTCTGCCTCAAGTCCCAAAGTGGGCTAAGCCACTTGCAAGCCATCGGCAGCTCCGATGCAGATGGATAGACGGGCGCTGCCCTCCTGCTGCATAATGTCATGTGGCTGTCTAGTCTTATGCCGGGTGGGGTTCACAGGTTGTCCACGGGTTCCTGCAACTTTCTGCCAGAAACTTCTGCCCAGGATTGGCAAGCAGTCGACTGCCAGCGGCGAGCCTCGAGCCGCGCAAACAAAAGACGAGCAAACTCCTTGCGCCATGTGGGTGACGCATGAACGGCTGGCAAGTGCGGCATTGTGCTATGGCAACGTCCTCGGAGTCCAACAGGGCACCTCTCTCGTCCAAAACCTGGCCGCACATCCATGTTGGATACAACGTGTCCCTGAAGTGCTGTGCTATACCCTGACAAAAGCTAAGGCTTCCTTCAAGAACAGAACGACGGCTGCGGGTTTCCGAGGCATCGACCAAGATCGGGTGGCGCAACTTGTTCAACGCCCGAAGAAGCGGAGCATCTGCTTTGTGGAAGATGGTTTCAACCTGACACTTTGCTTCTTTTCTGTCTCTTGCAGCTGTCATGTGACAACATTTCAAGCTCCTCCGGGGACTCCAAACACGAATCACACAAGAAGTCTCAGTCTCCATGCCACAAGCCCAGAAATGCTGGCAATGCTCCAAACTTCAGGCTTGGAGCTGGGCTTCACCCCGACTTAGCCCTTTTTAGGCCTAGAAGATCCCTTTTCCGTAAACTCCTAAACCCTTTTTGGGCCCAGAAGACGATCCGACGATCCCCCGATCGCAGCCGGGGCCTCGATGGCAGGATCTCTGCCACGAAGGCGCCGGACCTTCGGAGCAGTTTCAATTCTCACACTCGCACCTTCGGAGAAGTTTGAGGCTTGAGTCCTGATTAGTGGCTTAGTGGCTTCCGGGGCACCTAAATTTTCAATATATTTGACGGATCTTCAAGCGCCACTGGAATCCGCTGGAGGGCTTTATGCCGACTCGCACGCCTTCTCGAGCAGATCTAAGCCGGGATGCAGGATGCGTAAATGTCCTCAACATGCCACCGATCAGCATGCGGCCGGGTGTCCGGCATATTCTTCCACTGCTGTCCCTTCCCAGCCTGCGGCTGCTGAGAGCGCGAATGTTTAGAGGAGGCCTTTCCCGGACTGCCCGGCCTCCCGATGTTGGCCTTAGGGATGTGCAAGCTGCAAGCTGCTCTGTTCAGCTGCCCACTGCACAAGATGATCCCCAACAGGTACCCACGTCAGCTTGAGATCGCGACTTGCCCACCTGTACAAGTACAGAGATTCTTTCCCGTCAGCAAGGAACTCTTCTCTTGCAAGCTACATCAGGCACCGACCACGTGCACCGTGACTTTGTAGGCGCGCAGGCTGAATCGGAAGAGCCTTCTGTTGGTCACGGGACGGGGTGCAGACATGGGCTCACGCACTTCCACACCGCAATTCGCAACCTGTCCTCGATCGTGAAGGTGGAGATGCCTGGAGCCCGCCCGCCTCACCTCAAGCCTTCAACCCTTAGCCTTAGCACTCATCAAGCCGGGTTCTGAGATACTAGCTGTCATGTATCTGATGGCATGGAGCACCAGGGCAGGAAAAGCTGCGAGCGCCTAAAAAGCAGTTCGGCGTCATTGTGAGTCATCAAAACACCAATCCAATTCGAGAGTCGTTTCTGGTCCGTTTGCGGTCATTAACTCGTGGCCTGGGGCGCTGCGGAAACTCGGGCCACTCGGCTTCCAGCCAGCAGAGGCAGTTCTTTGGACTGCCGTGCAAGTATTGCCAAGCAGCCGTGCTCACGAAATGAATTCGCGAGCCGAAACATTAGCAGACTTTGCTCACACCATGCTGGTCTGGCAGTGCTCAACCCGCGAGAGTTGCTGCCTCAGCGTCTGTGCTACCGTAGCCGCTACCCGGGCGAGAATCCGATCTCCAACTCCAGCTCACCGGTCTCAATGTCCTCAGGCAAAAAACTATCTACTGCGGCTTTATTGGTTGATCTGCAGTCATGGCGGTGGCGGGTAGCAGTAGGGCAAGTGAAAAGAAGCAAGACCGAGCACATGCTGCAGCTAGACGAGCGGTGAAAGGTTTCGAAAGGGATGAGCAGAGCTGCAAATCACCCACCGTTCCCAACGAAATCTGTGTCCTGCAGCTGGTCCCGGATTCTGACCGGCTGGTTTGCACGGCCGTGGATTATGCGATACAGGGGGATCTTCATCCGGCCCAGGAAATCATCAGAGCCCATCATGTCCTCGTCGTAGACCTCGAGGAGCAGCTGGTCTTCTGGATGCCTTCGCTACCGAGGTGCATCTTTCAGGAAGGCAGGGTGAAAAACAGACTCTAGAGCAAGCTAAGAGAGAAAGCCTGTGCAATCTGCCACCCGGATGCTGGATGGGGAAAAGGAAGGGTGATGAATTCCACTTGGGGTTCAGATCATTGTTGATGGTATGGGTTCGCTTTCGTTGCTTCTCGCTCTGGCTCTCCAGTCGAACGGTCACGTAGGGATCCGAGACATCCCCCAGGATGCCGGTGTCTGCATTCACCTGGGGGTTTCCGAAAATAGGGGACCCTAATATAGTACCCTAAATAATAGGACAATAGGATCCGCATTATAAGGACCCCAAAATAAGGTACCCCTTGTTTTCGGAAACTCCCACCAAGTTGTAGGCAGCGATGATGCGGACGGAAAGAATGCCAAGGCCCCCCATGTCTGAGGATTGCCGCTTTGACTGGCCGGGCGAGCTCTGTGGACTTGCCGATAGCTGAGATTGAAACCGATCTCGATCTCTTGGCGGGCTCAGGGTTTGACTGGCTGGTGATGCTTCAGTGTCATAGGCCTCGTAGATGCACTCGAAATCGATTTGAGCCTGCGCTTGCGAGCCTTCCAAGCTCTCGCGAAGTTGCAGCCTTACCGAGCCCAGTCAGGAAGAGAGAGAAAAAAAAGAGGGAGAGGACACGGCACCTAATTACTTTAGGATGTTTCACCATGGGCATCTGACACTGAGGCCCCAGCGGCCGACTGGGATTCTTTGATCTATGCACTGCTGCGATAATGCGCTGAATGGGTAGCTGCGCACGGCCCAGGAAGTAGTGGTGTATGTGCTCGTCCACTCTGGGATTGGCAAGGTCAAGCACTTCCAGCTGCAACACATCTGCGACAGAATGCACCTCCAACACCATTGCCGGGGTGTTCCACTGCGGATTGCGGTTCCTAGCAATGGTCGGTGTCATCTTCTCCCTCGCATGGCTGGCTCGCCCACGCTGACCCTGCATGGAAACCTTGACACATGGGCTAGGAGTTCCGTACAAGCCGCTTCCGTGGCTGTATGCCAGGTTAGAAGCTGCATTGATCCAAAGCGTGAGGATCCCAACTCCGCGTCCGGTGACCCCTGCCAGCTCAGGTGCCCCCTCGGCAAAGGATGGTAGGCGAGCCAATCGGGCCTGCTCCAAAGGCCGACGCAGCCGGTGCTGCTCCTCCTCAATGGGCCCACGCCCGGGCAACCAACCATAGAAAGCGTCATCCTTCCAGCGCTGTTCCGGAGCATCGTTCGTTGTCCGGCCCGCAGCTAATTGCGGCTGCGGCCTCGCAACGTGGTCACTGTACTCACGGTGGTCGTTGAATCGGCGGGCCGGCACCTCCGAGAAGGAGGGCAGCGACATCAGGTTGCGTGCCGCACGCGCCTCCTGCAGCTGCTCGATGTTGCCCTCTTGAGGCCCTTGCTGATGGCTCCGCCAGGCGTGGAAGGGATCGCCCTTCCAGGCCTCACCGACCTCTTCGAGCTCCAAGTTAGGGCCAGGGCCCTCCAAATGGCCCATCTTGTGCTCAGCGCGGTTCAGCTCTCTACGCCAGCCGAAAAACGGATCATCCTTCCACTGGCGCTTGTCAATCATCTGTTGTCGTGGGAAGTAAGGTGGTGGCCCTGAGTAGTCCTCGGCTGTCAAAGTATAATATATTATATTACACTTGTTAATATATTATACTATACTATATTATATTAATAATATATTATATTATAATTATCTACGAGCCAATGGGACCTTGCGGTCTCCTCAAAAGATGCGCCGAGCATCATATTGGCCCAAGCGACAGGCCTCATCTTTGATAGAAACAAACATCTTCAGGCAGAGCTGCAATCGCATCAGATCCCGGAATTTTGTGTGCATGCCAAGCGTCCGAGGACTCATACTCGTTGAGCCTGCGCGCCTGCACTCAAACTCCACGTGAGCTAGAGTCGTCATCAAAGCGTCACTGCCTGTGGCCTGCTGCGTGCCCGATTCTTCGACACGTATATACAACCTACTTATGCTAGCAAGAGCAACTTTGACCGGAGCTGCACCAGCCTCGCCAATCTCTGCCACTTTGTAGTGGTGATCAGGTCGCGCCAGAGCTTCCGGCCCAAAGCCTCGCACGAATCATTCTAGGCTTGTCGCCTCTCCGCTCTACTTATCTCCAGCAACGTCTGCAGGTGCAGCAGGGCTAATCCGCTACGGTGCCGCAGTCAAGTCCACTGGCCGTGCGTCAATTTCGATGAACTGTGATGAACTGTCCATTGCATGATGCAGCTTGGCCGGGCTAGCGCTCTTTCTGCATGCACCAAGCTCTGTAGCCCCGCTGCTCTGGCCTTTGAAGGAAGGCAGTGGCACCTCAGGTTGCCACGATTGGTTTTAGCGGAGGAACATCACCGCGGTGGGAAAGATGCCATGGAGAAACACTTCCTCGATCAAGGGACCATGTTTTCCTTCTTCTTGCGGCTTTCTTGTAAGGCCAAGTTGTGCTGGAATTGCTTCTGCCTGCAGCTTGCAGACAGAGAAGACTACCGCACTTGGGTGCAGATCTCCTCTTATCAACGATGCCACCACTTTCCTTTTGAGGAACGAGACTGGCCTTGAGGACGGATTTGCCAACCTTAGAATCTGAACAGAGCTCGGAGGACTTGGATTGGCTGTTACACCAAGCAGCTGATCGGGACACAACAGCTGCACTTCAACTTGAATGCGGGGACGCTTGCGATCCTGTCTTGCACGACCACAACTTGCACGGGAAGTGTAGCAGTCCTAAAGGGACCCCATCAGTCGGGGAAAGCGTTACAGGGTCCTCTCGCACGACATCGCCTTCGTCCAGCATCTCCTCTACCTCAGATACACTTAGCCGTTCAAGCTTGGAAACGTTAGCACGTAGCGGAGGACGTGTCCGTTCGACTTGCCAGAATGACCGTCCTGAAAGCATTTCCGAGTGGCTGTGTGTGTTTCACCAGGGGTCAAGCTCCGTATAGGGATGTCTAGACGCCCCAGGCTATCATTTGCGTGCCAATGATTGGAGCTGAAGACCTACAGGGCCAAGCAGAGAGTCGCTGATTCATGGATAATTACAATATAATATATTATAATATAATATATGATAATGTAATATAGGCCCTTGAGATGGCACCTCCAGCTGAAGCTTCGGCTCTTCTTCGTCTTGCAAAGTGAACTCGAACTGCTGTGAATTCCATATGGGATTGAGACCTCAAGCTTGCGGCACGCACATGGACCCTTCGAGAGACAGCTACTGAAATCAAGAGTGCTCAACCGAATAATGAAGATAACCACCATCACTACGACTGCGAAGAAGCTAACGGCGCCGGCCAGCGCAGCAAAAGAGCTGAAAGATTGCTGAATGCGCGGCCCACTGGCTGTTCTCAACGACGTGGGTCTTGAAATCCTTTGGCCCAATCCTCGCCACCGCAAAGGGATCCGAGGCGTCTTCGGGCAAAATTCCCAAGTCGGTATTCCGAAGGTTGTAAGCACGCAGGATTCTTAAAAGGAGCTTGCTTCCCTCCAGACTGCCGGTCAGGGCGGCACCAGCTCGCGTGGCTGCCGGCACATAGGTTGGAAGGCTCGAATCGTCCTGTTCCTCACTGGGCCGCGCGCGCTCCCTCCTCTTCTCCTGAGGAAGCTGAAGTAATTCCCTTTGGCGCAAAGGCGAAGCATTTTGTGCCTCCCGAGTTCTGCTAAGGTCTTCATCCTGGCTTGGACCAGGATCCTTCTTCTTCTTCTTTTTCTTCTTCGCCTCCCGGTCCCGGTCGTCGCCCAGCGAAAGATCGCCATAGCCAAGACTTTGTGGCGTGCCTCCCAGGTAGCCCTGCTGCGAGGGTGGGGTAGGCATCAGATCAGCCATGGCATTTGGGCTCAGGGTGCCTTGTGGCGGCAAGTTTCGAGATCCGAAGTTCTGCGTCCCATGAGGTGGGAGGATCGGAGATTCTTCTGTTGATTTGATCGTTGCAGTCGGCGGGAGAAAGCCTTGGGGTGAATCTGTGGCCAAGTCCAGGCCAGAGGGTAGGTCTCCGAAACTCCCGCCTGGGGGTAGCATGCTTCCAGAGTTTGCGGGGCGCGGAGCTCCGCATGCAGCACATTCTACAGCGCCCCCCTCGTTGATAAGTGTGCACTGTTCGCACTGCCATTGTCCGTCATGCAGGGGTGAAGCCCCCAGCGGCATGTCCGGCGCGCCATGACCCAGATCAGATCTGAACATCCATGTACAGGAGCTACTGAAATACTAAGTAGAGCCGCTGCCTTTGCACTGCCTCTCGAGCAAACATGGAACTGAGGAAATACACAACGATTGCATGCTGCGCAACACGAGCTATCGAGCCACATGACCTTGCTCAACCTGCCCATTCAAACCGTGTTCGGCACCGACCGATGGGAAGCAGTAGGCTTCGATCCGTGGCCGCAGCCCCTTTCCGGAGGCCTTGTCAGCTTGTCAGAGAGTCAGAGCCCCAGCGACGAATATGCCCAAAAACCGGACATCCCGCGCGGTCTGGTTTGCAATGCCCGGCTCTGAGCGGTACTGTAGTACTGTACTAATCAGCTTAACAAGGCTCTTGTCCTGCTAACCAAGCCGGAGTCGTCCGTTATACAACCCCCCGCCCAGGGCCTTCAACCCGTGGTGCCTAATCAGTGCTGAAGCCGCTGAGTCCCGGCCTTGTGCGTAGTCTTGAAGTAAAGTGCCGAGTCAGAGGAGCTGGCAGAGCCAGCATGGATGCTTGCACCTCCATCCGGCACACGAGCGGGAGCCAAATTATCCCAAATTTTGGACAATGTCAGCATCCAGACTGGGCTGCGCTGTGAACCACTCTGCAGCGGCACATGTCGAAGCTGAAGCTGCGCAGTCCAAATGTGGGTCTGTGATGGAAGGCCTATGTGCGAGCTACAGCTCCCCCTTTACGCCCATGTAAACGATTGCCGTCTGCTGTGGCTCTGCCACAGGATCACGTGCATCGCAAGCTCTGTTCCGAGGGCGGATGGGGCGACCACTCGAAGAGGTCTTCCTTCAGCCCTGTGGTGGCCTGAAACTCCATCTTCGAGTCGGGGATGGCAATTGCGATACTGGAGGATACTGCCGA